GCTGTCGCCCATTGTTCACTGGTTCAGCCCAGCAGATTCCTCCTGGACGTCCAGACTTCCAGACCCAAATGTGACAGGCCACCTGAGAGAGTGACACTTGGATCGCCGAAGGTACGGGACTTCCTTCACCTTACCTTGGTAAGGCAACGAAGGAGGAGGAGGACGGTCTGTTCTTGTATGATCTGTTCAGGCAGCACTCATCGACACAACCTTGCTGTTCCGGAGACTTAGGCCCAGGGACAGAGAGAGATCTCTGGTCGATCTGTGATTCACCGCAACCCATACCCGGGCCCGCTAGCCATTTGCTTGTTGCTCGTCTCTTACGACGAGCGCAGCTATCGCCCATCTCTGCACCCATTCTCCTGGGATCTGACCCGAGGTCAGCCCGCACTCCGCTTCGTGTCTTGAATTCCGCCTGCGACTAGCTCTTCACGTCCACGTATCCGTACGGGGTCTCTTGCGCGGTGCACCACGAACGATTGGAAAGCTGTTTGTGCAGGAGCCAGGACAATACCTCCCGCGAGGTGCTCCAGTTCTGGTCGAATACCTGCCCCTGCTTTCATCTGGTCTGGCCTTTTTGGTCTCGTCTGTCTCTGTTGCTCCGCAATGGCCCACACTCCCGGCTCCGCGCGCTGCATCTAATCTGCATTCTCGCATCGACGAGCAAATAGAATACTTCCAGCGCAGCCTCTCTACCTGCGTTTTCTCTTGCAGTGTGTGGTGTGCGCAGGCGCCTCGCTACGACGGCATCAGATACACGTTTCTACCTTGGCAGCCCGGGTCACGGTATTCCCTTTTGCTGCCCGCCGGGGAGCAAACCGCACGGGAAGATAGCATCCCTGATCCCGGCATTGTTGTCTACTTACGAAGTAGAAGTCGTTTTGCAGCTGGAGCAGAATTGTCGCCGCCCTTGAGCAGCCGGCAGATCCAGCAGCAGCTCACAATCATCCTGAGCGACGCAGAGAGTGTTTCCAGTCCGCAGAGAGTGTGTGAGAGGGAGTGCCCTTGGTCGCTTCTTGGTCGCCTTTGGTGGTCCCTCACCCAACAGACGAGCGAGCGTCTTTGAGAAGGATTTTGGATTCGGACACCTTGCTTGGCTTGGCTGCCCTGGCGCACAGCTACCTGCCCTTTGGCGACATCTTCGCATTTGCCCTTTGCCCTTCTAAACAGCCCTGCTTTAACTAAGGTTACCCGAATCTCGAGGTACCTTGGGTCTGGTACAAGCCAGTTGCAACATCAACGCCTCTCCCTGTCGTGCCTGTGGCCTGCCGTCGGAGGCCAATCGCAAATCGCCGTCTCATTCCAAAAGAGCAGAAAAGGGCCCCAAAGAGACTCAGACTCGCCGCACCCATCATTCTCTGAGAGTTCTGTTTATCATCTGGGACGACGCCTCATCGCAGTTGCCTCGCGCCCTCAAGGTAACTCGTCTGCCTACATCATCCGCCTGTTTGCCTTCTTATTCTTCTTCCCTCTCTCTCTCTCTTTCGTCCTGCTTGCTTCCTTCATCGTTCTTACCTCTTCCACTGCTATTCCCCGCGTCTCCGGCCCTCACGCTGCACCGGACATCGCCCACCCCCTGGACATTGCTCTGCATGGGCAAGAGACCGGACGACATTTGAGAGCAGGCAAACGTCAATACCGACCGAGCAAGTAATTACATACACACACATACACACACACACATACGGGTGCACAAGCACACAGACGCACACACACCACACACCTACCGAGGTGCCTTTCGACAGCCCAGCCAGACAGATAGGCACACACGCGACAGACTGCATACACCTTTCGTCCCGACTTTTCAACGTTTCGAACCCCGGGTCTTCCGTCCTGTACATGTCCCATCGCCGCATTTAATACCTACTACAGTGTGCTGCTTTTGATTTCTTGGACCCGGGCACGCACGCACGACCACCTGAGCCTGGACCGAACCCAACAGCTGGATGGTGCTCAAGAGCCATCGTTCAAAGTCGGACATCAAATCAGTCGAGCAGCCATCGGGTGGACAGAGCTCCTGCTTCCCCATCGAGGTTGATTGGACGTCTTCGTTTGCGTTGTCGATATCCGTAAAGAGTGGCAGCCACCAACAGCTCTGGGCGCAGCTCGGCGGCACGGTACAGATACATCGACAAGGTATCGGGCCTCAGCTCGTCGCAGTTCCACACTACGTCCCCTCCCGCCGTACCTATCTTACCTTTGGTACCTGGCTGGACGCACGCATAACCCGTCCACTCAGCGCTGCAAACGAACATTAGCTTTTTTGTCAAGCCGCACATCACATCATTTGGAGACGAACGCTCTCGCTCGCCCGCCGCACAAACCAGAGACACCTCTCCTGCAATAGGGCCGATCTGTCGTCACTACCTTGTCTGCCCTGCCCTGCACCAGGCACCCTCAGCTCAGTCGGTCAGCTTCCTGGGTACGGTACCTTGCAAGGACAGACAGATAGAAACAAGAGACACCAGAGGGGAACAAGACGCACGGAAACACACAAAAGAGGCAATTCGACAGCATTGGTTGGGAACTGTGTGCATCCCCGTCTCAAGCATCGAGGCAAAAAGCCAAACACGGGAATTGGGTAAGTGGGATTCTCAACATTGTCATGTGTTTGACAGACAGGCAGCGCAAACTGTCTCTCGTTGCCCTCTCTAGCTGGCTGTCCACAGTCATCCATCCATTCCGTCTCTCTGCCTGCGCTACCTACCTCACCTTACCTTGCGTGGGCTTGCTGGGTGGTGTTCATTCTGATCTTCCCGTTCCCTGTGTCTTCTTTTCTTTTTCCTCCTCTTTCCCTCGCTCTCTCACCCCCCCTCAACTCATCTTCACCTTCTCCACCATCAAATCGCCTCCAACCCGGTCGTCCATCAGTCGACGACGCATCCCTCTCTGGCGGCCGGCTTTCAAGTTTCCCATCCTCGCAGCCAGCAGCAGCATCGTGCACCCACTGGCACCGCCTAAAAAACACCCGGTCCCGTCTGGCACCCATCAATCAGGGCAGCCATCCATCCTCCCGTCCCAGCGTCCGTCCACTTGGCTCCATCCTTCAGGCCCAGGGCTCCCCTACTAGTCAGTAGGTAGTAGGTTGGGTTGGTACCTGGCCCAGAAGGAAAGGCGAGGTCAAAGGTACGAGTGTTTTGCGCAGATAAACTACCCGAACTGGCTTTGCTGCAAAAGTACATGCGGATTCAAGCTCTTTCTCTCTCCCTCTCTCTCGTCTGCTCTTCTCCGTCCCCTCCCCAGCAGCTCCAGCAGCGGCACCACCAATGCACCCCCCGGTCATATCCTTGAAGGCACTGCGCACTGGAGACGCCCCAAGTCGAAGAGAGCTCCATGTCGGCTCCCCCCTTCAAACCTGTCCCCCCCCAACCCATCCCAAGCATCCCTGGCCCCTTCCCTCCGCTTCCGCTCCCCTTCCCCTCCCTCCTGCACTAAACTAAACGGTAGAGGGCCTAGCCTCCCGTGTACACTACTGGGAAGTACCTACGGTGTTGTCTCTCCTTGCCCTCTTTTGCCTTTGGGTTGACCCTCTTACCTGGCGAAAAAGACTGGAACGAGGTGCCATCTGCTCCATGTTCAGGGAGTTCCAAGGGTGCAGTCTCCTCCATATTGGATCTGGTGCAGGCATGGAAGCAAGCAAAAAAAATAAAAAATCTCCTACAAAGTTATTAGCTGCCCGCTCCCGTCCTGCCTTTCGCCCTAGCTGGCAGCGGGCGCTCCATCCATCACCAACCTAATCAGCCTTACCGCAACTGCTTTATTCTCACTCTTTTTTTTTTTTTTTTCTTTTCTTTCTTTCCCCGTCGTCGCTACTGCTGCTACTGCTGCCGCATTCTCGTTCCTCCCTCCCTCATCCTCGTCGTCATCCTCTTTCCATCCGCAAATCCTCATCATCCTCATTCTTGGTCCATATCTCACTCGCCCTTTCCTCCTACTTACTCCTCCTCCTCCCTCTGTGCATATTCCGCGCCTCCCACATATCCCGAATCCACTCTTTCTTTCTTTCACAAGCAAGGTACTTTGCCTCTCAACCGTGTTGTCCTCCTTGTCTTTGGCTGGGAACACACATTGCCAATCCTCCTCCTCCACACTCACCTTTCCGTCCAACTCTGCCCTCTTCACCCCATCGAATCTGCATCTGCATCTGCATCTGCTCTTTTCCCTCGCTCTATCAATCTTCTACGTGCATCCAGCTCTATCGCCCCCAATACCCCCAACGGCCTGGCTTTACGCTAGCACATCGCCCCCAGTTCGACCTGGTCTTTTGCTGACAGCTGGCGTGCTGCCTTCGTTTAGTTCGCGCCATAGAGAATTCCTGGAGAAAGTCACTGTCGCAAGAAAAAAAAAGTTCACACATAGTCGTATATAATTCACCAGCGGAAAACCCAAAAACCTGCACCCACGCCACCAGCAAACCAGCAAACGGAGCAGAGTCACACCTTTTGCCGCCACAGATACCCCTCATAGATATCTTGACGAAACACCTTTGCGTCGAACCACCCTTACGGCCTCCTACCAACTCGCAAACCTTCCGACATTTTTTTTGCACTCAACATTCTTCACGAAAAACCAACAGCGGAGAAGCGTCATCATAGCGAGCACAAAAGTCGCGATCTCGCATCCGACGTCCGAAGACCGACTTTGCGCTAACTACACCAAAACTCCTCGAGAATGACAACCACTGTAAGTTGCTTTCCCTTTTACTCCACGCGAGGTCCGGAGGGGGATGATGGACTCCCGGATGCGACGATGCGAGCGCGCGGCCGTGTGTCTCAAGACTGCGCCTAACTAGAGCCATCATGGCCCTTGGCTCGAGTCGCCAACTCGGCGCTCGGAACTTCGCCTAGACCTGGCAGCTTGCTCAAAAAAAGAAGGCTCGCCTCGTGCTGTCCGTCATCATTCCTTCCCGTCCTTCGTCGTCCTCTGCTCTCATGGCTTCCACGTTGCTAACTTGTCACGTTTCACAGGCACGGCCAGGTCGCTTCCAGACCTTCCCAGCGATGGCAAACGGACGAGACGAGAAGATAGCACCCGGAGCGGCGCAAGCCTTCGGCTCCAACCACCTTTACACCACAGGATCAAACATCTGGACAACGACCTATGGGGGACCAGCCAAGGCCAACGCCGGAAACGCCAGAGCCGAAGACGCATTCACAACCCAGCCGTCGGGCTCTGGCGCACTCGCCGCGGGCTCGGAGGCAGACACTTGGGGTCAGGGCCCTTGGAACCAGGACGGCACCCAGACCCGATCTGCTTCCGGAAGCACGTCGCCAAACCGCACACGCGACAACCTGCACAACAGCACCTCATCATTCTTTGACAATGCTACCATCGGACAGGGCCGCGGCTTCATCAACGGCCGGCCAAAATCGTTTTTGGAGGAGGACAAGGAAAATACCAGCTTCGGAGCCAGCTTCAACAGTCCGTATGAGGGGTACGCCAGACAGGAGAAGCGCGGCTCGAAAGAGACTGCGTATCTGGCCGGCCTGGGCGCTGTTGGTGCTCCCTCCAGAGACAGCAGCATTCCTCCCTCGCGCCAGTCTGATGATTCGCACCACTCGCCCCCTGCGTTCCGAGACACGTTTGGTGGTTATGGCCATACCCCGAGCAATTCAATCGCCTCGACTCGTCCCATGCCTGCCCACTCTTCGTCCTTCCCCTCGCAAACCACCAACCAGCGCGCTTTCCTGGCGAACAACAGGCAGATGGAGGATTCAGACCTTGCCTCCACGTTCAAGAAGTCCATGACTCTGGATGATGGGTCCGGAATCGCCCAGACCATTGGCGGTGGCGCACCGGGCTTCCAGTTCAACCCTGGGTCTCAGCCCTGGAGGGCAGACGTCAACGGAGCCTTCCCTGATGCCTACGCCGACCCCGTGGCACAGCAGCAGTATAAGCGGGGCTCCATCGCCAGCATCTCTGGCACGCCGGCTCAGTACCGTGTCGTCACCAGCCCCAAGACGTATGCGTCCCAGCAGACTGATCCTTGGAGGTCATCGTCTCGCGACCTGAGAATGGTCTCGGATGGCGACCGGCGGACCCCGGTTCAGCCCTTCATCCCGGCCCAGGCGCCTACCTTCTTCCCCGCGGGGCCTTACTATAACCCCAACTTCGCCGGACAATTCGCTCCCCAGGTGTACGACCCATACGTCAGGCAGCAGATCCCCATGCCCGGATACGGACTGCACATGGCGCCGTACTCCATCCCCGGAGTGGTGCCGATCCGTGCCACCAAGGACCAGGACCCGAGCAAGGGCATGCGCAGCATGCTTCTGGAGGAGTTCAGGTCCAGCTCCAAGTCTAACAAGCGGTACGAGCTTAAGGACATTTACAGCCACGTCGTCGAATTCAGCGGCGACCAGCACGGCTCCAGATTCATCCAGCAGAAGCTCGAGACGGCGAACAGTGACGAGAAGGACCAGGTCTTCCGCGAGATCGAGCCCAACGCTATCCAGCTGATGAAGGACGTCTTTGGCAACTACGTCATCCAGAAGTTCTTTGAACACGGCAACCAGGTGCAGAAGAAGGTGCTGGCCTCCCAGATGAAGGGCAAGGTCGTCGACCTGTCGATGCAGATGTACGCCTGCAGAGTTGTCCAGAAGGTGAGTTCCCGCATCAATCTGCTACTGTCCCTTTACTGACTTTTCACAGGCCTTGGAGCACGTCCTCGTTGAGCAGCAGGCGGAGCTCGTCAAGGAGCTTGAGCCGGAGATTGTCAAGGTTGTCAAGGACCAGAACGGCAACCACGTAGTCCAAAAGATCATTGAGCTCGTCCCCCGCCATTACATCAACTTCATCATGGACTCTTTCCGTGGTCAAGTGAGCACCCTGGCCTCGCACATGTACGCCTGCAGGGTCATTCAGCGCATGCTCGAGTACGGCACCGAACAGGACAAGGAGACGATCCTCGGCGAGCTGCACAACTCAACCCAGAGCCTCATCACCGACCAGTACGGCAACTACGTTGTTCAGCACATTATCGAGCACGGCAAGCCCGAGGACCGCTCAAGAATTATCCAGCTTGTCATCTCCCAGCTGGTCACCCTGTCCAAGCACAAGTTCGCCTCGAACGTGGTTGAGAAGTGCATCCAGTTCGGCACCGCGGAGGAGCGCAAGGGCATCCGCGAGCAGATCACTTCCCAGGCCAGTGACGGAACCAGCTCGCTGCAGTTGATGATGAAGGATCAGTACGGCAATTACGTGATTCAGAAACTGCTCAACCTGATTGAAGGCTCCGAGCGCGAGGCCTTCATCGAGGAGATGAAGCCCCAGTTTAACCTCCTCCGCAAGACGAGCACTAGCCGTCAGCTTGCGGCCATTGACCGGCTCCTCTATGCCACACAGACCCTTCCCTCCAAGTCCGGAGGATCTCAGGCCGACTCTACCGCACCTACCCCGGTTCTGACGATGGAGCCCAACAGCCCTCAGAGCAGCAGTCCTCCCAGCACGAACGCCAGCGCCATCGGCGAGGTGGCGGACGACGACAACAAGTCCGGGGTGCCCGGTGGTGTGAGCCTCAAGGTGCAGGTTGAGGAGGCTTAGATCAAACCTGCTCACGAAACTTCGTTCGGTATGATGGCGTCACGGTTGCTTCGAGGTACTACACAAATGCATCACGACACGACACGGACTTGATGATCCCTGTCGTGGGTATCACGTCTCCTACTTAATCTCTTGTTTTTACAACACACCCCCGAATATGCAAAACCCAACACATACACGGCTGGCAAGGTCAACGGTAGAAAAATTGTTTGGACAACATACTTTTTTGGGGGATCCAAAAAAAGGGCTGTTTTGGCTTACTCGTGTTTTCTTTACCTCTTGATGGTTCCTCTCATTCACACACACTCCTGGGTCATACATCTTCAGAAAGGTGGAGTATCAAGGGACCAAAAGGCTGAGACATGTACGCAAGGTTGGAGAACCGGTCAAGGGGGGCAAGGTAGACGTTCACGGGTGCATCTTTTTTTTGGGTTCACGGGCGATTCACGTGGGCGAGGTTGAACTTTTGACTTCATGTATTTTATTGGAATTATCGTGTCTATGCGATACCAGCGTTGGTCTGACGGATAGACCTGTCAATAGACAAGTGCAGTAAAAGTAAAAGCGATAACCACATATACATTGAGGTCCTATGTAACGGTATTAGGACGGACATCCAGGGACGTTCGTCTGGACGTGAGGGAGCCGGATATCCGGTGCATCTGAAAGGCATGTCCGGCGACGTCCCAAGATGCTCACGAGCTGACAGCTCCGGTCAGCCAATGCAAAGTTGCCCGATTCGGGGACTACCCAGCATTAGCTAATCAGGGGTCCCAGCCATTACATCATGGCGCCGACGTTAAGCGGCAGGCTTTGGTGTCAGTCGGGCACCTGAACTAGCTCCGACATTGGTCCCGCAAACCCCTGTGCGCCCCCACGTGTCCAATCGTCCCGCAGCAATTATCGTGGGAAATTGGGCCGGGTGGGCGTTCCGACCTACAACGTCCCGTCACGCATAACTGATTCTCCCTCGTTTCTTCTCTCTTGCAACCTTCAATGCACCGCACACGATGTCGACGACACGACTGACCTTTTTGTACCCGCACCTCTACCGCACCCTGCGCGCCAGCGAGCCCAGGGCATCGTCGACATGTCGCAGCAGCAGCAGCAGCAGCAAACGGGCCGCCGCCGAGGTTCGGAGGAGAGGGTACGCCGCCTTCGCGCCCACGCCCGAGGCCCGACAGTCCGGCTTCGCGCCGCGGCACGGCAAGGGCATCGAGCCTGTGAAGGCCGAGAGCGAGAAGACGCGCAAACCGGTGCCGGCGCCGAAGCCTGAACCAAACACCACCACCACCGCGCCGGAGAAGACCCCCGACTCGTCGGCAGCCAACCCGAAACCGAGCGGGACCGCATCCGAAGACGGGTCGGCGGCGGAGACACCGACGTCAACGACAACAACACCCACGAGCACACCACCACCGCCGCCGACCGGCGAGGAGCAACAGCAGGAGGCGGAGGAGGCCAAGGTGGCGAAGCAGGAGGCGCGGGACCAGGCCAAGAAGAGCGGGCCGCTGGAGGCGGTGCTGCAGATGGGACCGCCGGAGCAGGTCGCGAAGCAGCACCCGCACATGGAGACGCCGCCGTACGTGCACCACTTTGACAGCTTCTCGCTGGTGAAGCAGCTCGGCGGCGGGGGGTACACGGAGGCGCAGTCCATCACGGCGATGAAGGCCATCCGGGCGATTCTGGCGCACAATCTGGATGTGGCGCAGGAGAGTTTGGTCAGCAAGAGCGATGTGGAGAATGTGAGTTCTGTTCCTGTGAGGAGGAGATGATGATGGAGGTTGCTGACGCAGTTGCAGGAGACGTATCTGTTCAGGGCGGCGTGCTCTGAGCTCAGCACCGAGGTGAAGAACAACCAGAAGCTGGCGGACGAGGAGATGAGGCAGAAGAGGACGCTGCTGCAGCACGAGGTGGACATACTCACGCAGTCGCTGAATCAGGAGCTGCTGACGCTCAACGATAACGTCCGCGGCATGTTCAACGACCGCAAGATGGCGGTGAGGGAGGAGCAGAAGGCTGGTGAGAGCGTGGTAAGTGGTCCATCGTCTTACCCCTACTTGTCGTCGGCACATCCTAAGACAGCTAGATCCAACAAATCAACTATAAAATCAGCCTGCACCTCAGCAGCGACGCCAAGTCCGACATCGAGGGCCTGCGGTGGGTGCTCATCAGGCGGTCCGTCATCGGGATCCTCTTCATGGCCGTCGTGACGCTCGGCACGCTGCGGTACGGGTCGTACGTCTCGCATGAGAAGCAGAAGGAGGCGGAGAGGATCAAGAAGCAGGTCGAACTGATTAAGAAGTCGCATGGCAAGAATGATCATAGCTCGTCGCCAGATGCTGCTGAGATTTTGGCGGCAAATTAGAAACGAGGAGGTGGTGTGGAGACAAGATGAATGCTGCGCATTAGCTGAGAAGCTCACGGATGGTTGCTCCAAGGGAGAAAGTATATTCAAGCATGTGTCGACCGTTGCATTTTGGCGGACTAGGAAGATACCCCATAGACGTTAAGTAGGGTTATAGAAGGCACCGACTTGATATACGAAGACTTTCGTCCTTGCTTCGTCGCGACGACACAAGGACATGCTGGCGTGGCTTGACGTCGTCACGAAGAATCCAGGCTGCTTAGTATGGGAGGTGGCATCCCGCCTCTGGGATTAAAGTGACAGCCTCCGAGTAGCTGAATTAGTGTCAGACGTCCTTCCATAAGGAGGTTTCAGCGCGGGGACTTCTCTCATGTCGCCGTCGGGCTGCCGGATGCCAAAATTACATTGGCACAACTACCAGGGCATCATCAAAAAGCCCTGCTGGTCCAGGGAAGCTCAAGGACGGCCAGGGATAATGAAACGGCCTAGCTTCGATCAAGGACGCGAAGTGAGGGTGCCGTTCTCCGCAAAACTCCTCAAAATGGGCACATAATCGAGGTTTTGGGAACTTCCTCCAATATAATCGAGGTTTTTTTTTTTTTTTTTAGTTTTTTTTTCCCCGCCCTCCGTACCCATGCGGACCAGACGGTGGTGTAGGATGAGGTAAGGTAAGGCAAAGTCTGGGCAGCCTTTCAGTGGTCAGGGCCTGCAGATAAGCCAGTCTCAAATTATTGTTGGTCTTCTAGTGGTGGATCAGCTATGATTTTGAATCCTCCTTGGCTTGCCGCACAGCAAAACTTTCTATAAGCACATCGACGCGCAGAATCTCGCATTATCGTCGTATGCGCCTGTGTATTTAGAGAGATTCTAAGCTCGCAACAATGGACGTTCTGTGTCCATCGTATGAATGCAATCTTTTTTCTGTAAGAATCGCCTCTCCTGATCTGCTAGAAACCGTGACTTCTCACGCCTGAAATCACATCGGAATCTAGTCGATCTCAAGTCCTTCCGGCGAGGTTAGGTAGGAACCATGACAGACAAGAAATGCAGTACTTGAAGCTCCTTATTACACAAGCGATAGCGACAAGTAAGGCCAGGCCACGAGGTTCTAGTGAAATTTAGTCGTCGACTGTAGCCGCCTTCTCAGACACGGGACGCAGCTTGTGGCAGGCATCACGGCTGCCGGGGTGTATGGTATGTGTGTGTAGATAGATGCACGAAGCAACACCGCAAAACCATGCCATGCACCATCCCAGACCCGTAAGGGTCACGCTGCCTGCTTGGGAGTCCCGTTTGCTTTTCCTTCCTGGATCCATCAAAATGTACATTGAACAGCAAGCACCACGCCAACTGTCTTGACCACCCGGCGCGGGATAGTACGCAGTAGGTGAGGTGAAGTAGAAGGAGGTGAGGCGAGGTGAAGTAGATGAAGGAAAATCGAGATATGGGGGTGCAGGTGGTGGAAATAACCTTTTTACAGGTGCAAGCTTGATACGGTAACGGTACGTGGAGGTGTGAGCGTAAGGTGCATCACATGTATCAGCGTTGAGTGGATGAGGGTTGGATTGCAGGGCACCAAAGGACTAACAATCTGCCTGCGGCGGGTGCGTGGGAAGCTGGCCAACTCCTTCACAGTGTGCGCTCTGCGGACGTGCGAAGTTGGCGCGTTCTTCACTGTGCAAATGCTGCTTTTCCGCCCAGAGGCTCTATGTACCGACACTGGGAGGGAGGAAGGGAAAGGCTAGGTGGAAGAACAAGGCCCCGGGGCACTGTGACCTTCACAGTGTGCGCAGCGGGCGCAGCGGGCGATTTGTGCTACACCAACGGCGGGTAAGCCACAGGTGGGCACAAACGCGCCTGCTCGAGGAGGTGAGATATGGTCATCGGCAACTCGCTCAGTATCCCTGGTTGTGAATCCTCAAATACTGCTGTCCAAAATATATAACCCGGGAAAAGACATGCCAGATGGCTCAAAACATTCTATCATCGATACTTCCCCCTTTTCGTCTGTTACGTCGGTATCGTGAGAGAGCAGTAACACAACACAAAACACCTTCATCGTTAGAGAACCCGGGTACCCAGAACCTCCACGTCCTCGCAACTCCACAACCATGGTCGGTCGTACTTCTGCCACCAGCTTGAGATGTTCCAATCTCGAGTGCAATTCTACTTTTTCCACCAAATCAAACTTGAATAGACACGTCAAATCCAAGCATGGTCCAAAGGTTTAGGCGGCCTGTGGGAAAGAATTCCCGAACCAACCTTGGAACATCAAGCGGCACACGAGTACCTGCAGCGAGTGCAAGAAAACGATGGACCACCACGACACCTCGACTTCGCCGGAGAAACACAGAGCTGCTGTCGACAGCCTTGATCATCACAACTTCCTTGCTGAAGACGGGGCTTCGGGTCAATATGATCATGATCCAAGCCTTGGGGACATCGTGAACGGTGATATAATCTTCTGGGGCTGGAGAGAATACTCGCTCGCTTTGGAGTATGAAAACCTGAAGGATTGATTTGTTACGATAGATGATGAGTTCTATTTGTCTACGTTGTTCACAATACTCCAATTGACGCTGCTCGCAAACAGTGTGGAAAGTCTTAATTGCCTGGTTGGATCCAACCAGTCACTTGACCCATTCACTCATCAGATTATTTTCTGCGTTCTCCGCTCTTAGAAAGAAAATAGAAATCAAATGCAGTTGTACGAGCGTTGGATTCTATCTTGAGGCGCGCAAAACATGAAACCTAGCGACGTATCTCACTCGCGCTGCGCGACTGAAGACATAACCAGACCCACCCTATCAGCCAGCAACCCTTGCCTGTCTCGCTCCCTCTAGCCACGCTTAGATTGCCCGGAACGAACCCTTCTTGTCAGGGATGGTCCATCTCCAACCATTCATCAACACTACTGCGGTGTATTTCCTCTTGATAGAAAAGCCCTTTCCACAACCCTCCGATCGATAGACGAACAAGTAGCCGATAGTCGACTGCCCCAAAACTGTGGGCACAGATCTTCACCCATTTCTCCCACTTGCTACCTTGAGCACATCGGGACTGGGTATTCATCAGGAGACGGCGGGGTATGCTGAGGAAAGAAGCACTAGAAAAGAAAAGCATGGTGTCACTCACCCACATCCCAGAACCCTGTCGATCCGACCCGCCGTTTGGCAGACCTACTAATCCTCCCGAGGCTCTCGAGGCTGCCACTCGTGCTATCATTGGTGCCAATCTGGGGGAACTGGATGGGGGGGAGCTCGACTCTTTTCTAGCGCGGGTCGGTGTTGCTACCCCTGCTGTTCTGCCTTATTAAAAAGACTGCAATAATAAAATCCCGGGTGATATTTTTGCACTTCCCCTTGAGTTTTTTGGGACGACGCAGCTCCCTGTTGCACTTCTCCTTACTGTGGTCTGCACCACGCTGAAATAGACGGAATCCTCAATCTCGACCCGAGCAGATCTATTCCATGAGAGCTATAAATTCTAACTTGACATCCAATTGTTTCTTCATGAAAATGTCTGCTAAGCATCATAGGCCAAACAGTTCTCCGACCCGTAGTCACCAAGGATCGATCACAAGCTCTGACTTATACCAACAGCCACTTATTCGCTATGGCTGTGCTACTGACTTCCATACCAACTCTCTTTTTTAAATGCAAGGAACAGAATTGTCATTCAAAGCATTTTACGACAAGCTCTAACCTCAAGAGACATATGAGGTCTAAGCATGGTCCTAAAGTCCGGATGGCATGCGGAGAGGAGCGCCAAAACCATTCATCCAACAAGAAACATCACCAGAGCAGCTGCAGCAAGTGCAAGAACATCGCTGCACAGCAGGTGAATGTCACCTCTGCCCCTAAGAATCACGACGTCAACCACATGGATCCCACAAACTTCGACTCAGAAACCGCAATGTTCGAGACACAGCCTGGAGACTATGGCACTGGACTCAGTCAAGAGCTCCTCGATGTGTCTTGCTGGACTTATCAGAACCTTGGCCCCGTCTATGAAGCCAAGCAGTGGAACAAAGAATCACTTGGCTGAACGATTGCGTACGTGATTTCGACATGTAAACATGGCAGATGCTAATAACTGTTGTAGATGGCTATGATACACCGGTGCTCATGGAACACAAGGTAGGGATGATTGGAAGGTTGGAAAATGTGGTGAAGTTTGCAGTAATGCTTATTGCTGCCATAATAAGCCCAAATACACCTTTTCAGCACTCACTAGCAATTCTTCGGAACCTGAACTGAAGCCTTGATCTCAGTGAACCAAATTTCTGTGCAATTCTACCAGTCCACCAATTTAGTGCCAACTCATTCAGACAGGTGAGCGGAACGTGATGCTAACTTAGCGCCCGTCTTTAGCTTCTTCCGACGGACCGGGAGTCGTGTAGGTTGAGGCCGACTCCGTCAGGTGGATCTAGCTAGACCCCAGTGCTCCAAGCAGCCCGAATGGACTGTTGAGGGGGCTGATGTACAAGGCGGGAGGTTCGGGAACACTGAAATGCGGAAATCCTTTGGCCTTTAGATGCAGCGGTTTTTAAGTTGGATTTACTAACCAGAGTCCTCCAACTTCACTGGGGTGTCTGCTCAAGGCTGCTTGCCCATGGACAGCCGCTGAGACGGGCAAGCAAAGAAATCAACTGAACAAGCATTGAATTTCTTCACATTTTGTCTCCTTCCCCGGGAGCTATATTTGCCATAGCACTTCATAATACTTGAGCTTGTATATTTTCTCTGAAACTTTCCTTTCGCGAGCTGCGCTGACCGAAGGCCACAGCGCGTGGTCGTGCTCCACCCCGACTTACACCGTTGCCCCGCTTGCCTTCCTCTCACCATCACACACCGACAAGCACCTTCCAGACTCCCTTCTCTCAAACAGCCATCACCAAAAATACATCCCGAACACGACAAAAACCTTTTTGTCTCGCTTCACCCATCAGCCTCCAGATAAAGCAGACCGTAAGTATCCGTAGGAATTTGTGATTGGCCTCAAAATATATCCTCTTTTTTGTTCACTGTCTAACCAAGTGACAGACACACCATGCCTCCCCGAAAGGCACAAACCGACGTTCCCGCCTCCAAGCTCAGAAAGCGACATCATGACTGTGACTTGATCCCAGATGATTCAGACGGCGATGGCTCCGACGTCACTCACAAGAAAGCCCGTCGCGACGAGGTTGGCGACGAGGAACATCAGACCGGCGCCGGAAACCTGCCAGCAGCCTTGGAAGGCGAGGATGTACAGGAGAACGAGCAGCAGCAAGAAGCGGCAGTCGGCCCTGTTGACGATGTTGGTGACAGAGTCTCCATGGTCCAGAGGCTTTGCACCGGCATTGATAGGCAGCTACACGCTCTCAACAAAAACCTGAGCAATCCAGAGTCGACGCTCACAACCGCGTTGTTCAACGCGGCAACCACGGCTGTGAGGCAATCTTTGGTGGATTCACCGGTGAAGAAACTCGAACAGGAGATTTTCCAGTGCAAGCAGCTCCTGGTGAGGAAGCAGCAGAATTTCGACGAGCTCCAAAGAAGCAGCCAACAAGAGCGATGTGAGCAAGCCGATGCCCTTCTTCGTGAACAGAGCTGGAGACAGTTATCCACGTAACACCGTGGTCCAGACTTGAAGTCTATCAATCGATTCTGCAACTCTAACTAACTGGCCGAACCTTGATCCATACATTTGTGATCTGACCGGTAGACTCCAAGAGAATTGGCCATGCGCTCTCCCGCGACGAGCCCCTAGACCCCAGCTCGACTTAGGCTGTTGAGTTGACCGCCTCCCTCGCTACTATCTTTTGCCGACATTAAGTTGTGAGTTTTCTGAAGAAACCTCACAGCACTTTCAACACCCTAAGCGGTATCACTCGAGTTTGGCTCGCCCTTGATGCAAGGCTCGTTCTTGATGTCCGGCTCGTCCTTGATACCAGGCTCATTCTCTGCAGCCGAAGAGTTGTGAGAGACTGCAGTCCTGTCCATGCCAAGAGCCTGAGAAGGCTGTTCTATCGATGCGCGGGCGCTTTTCGCTGGGCGCTCGCTTTCCTCTGCACTTAGAGACCGGTCTCTCTTCGTGTCGTCACCAAGACAACCATCCAGATATGCCTGTGCTGCGGCAAGTCCTCTCTCGTACGCAGGTCTAGTAGCCTTGCGGTCTTCACGGAGTTTCCGCACGCTGGCTCTCTCTTCCAGGCTCAATGGAAACCAGTTGGCTTTGGTCTCGTGGTAGTAAAGAGCATACGTGTAATCAGGCTCGCCGATCTCCCAGTCCGACTCGCTGTAGGCCTCCTCATCCGATGGTAAATTGTCTGAACCGGTTTCGTGGAAAGATCTGATGTGATCCATTCCATCCTTGCCTTCGGCCCGTTGCCTGACAGCCATAGCCAACACGTACCGATATGGTCCCTTAAGTGGATGATGCCGACCATACGGCAGGACCATCTTGAAAGTCAGAAAATCCATCAGGTTGAACTTGTCGTTCGCAGACGGCGTAAATCTGGCTCTGATAATCGGCGGGGCGTAGGTAAAGATGAAGCTTATGGTGCCGTCGTCGGTAGGTCCACAAGGCCTTCTGATTGCGGCCGGGACGTCGAATCCAGTCATCCCCTGCGTTTCGTTGTCGATGACGATGACGTGCTCTTTGGAGTTCAACCTCACCTCTTGCCATGGGTCCTCCTCCTTCTCTTTGGTCATCTTGACAAAGAGGTTGAATTGCCCACGAGCCCAAATGGTTTCGGCGAGCTTTTCGCACTGCTCCAGGTAGGCGAATGAGAGGTCGTGTTCGGCAGTCTCTCCGGATACGATCTTGTGTTTGATGAGATTGTTCCTCAGGTTCTCGAAGTCGCCGGGGTAGCAGAGGGGCGCAGTCTCCCATGACAGCTGCAGTAGCGGGTTGTCTTCTTCCTCTTTCCTTCGGAGCGGGTCGTTGTAAGCCACCTCATCCTTTAACAACCAAGAGTTGAAGTGTCTGATGATTACCATGAGGCAAGAGACGCCCGAGAACCCCGCTGGCGTGTTGATGGGCCAAATATGAAAGAGGGGTCCGCGCCAAGCATTGGTGCTGTTGCCGTGCTTCTTGCGAACATCGCCATCCTCCCTTTCGACTATCAAGGTAAACGGCGTTTTATACTCGGAGGTCATTTTGCGCGAGGATGATCGTGTCTTATGAGGGTGTTGTGCAGTCCGTGTCTGAGAAGGCAGCAGCCCTTGAGAGAGGTTACAGGTGTGTGAGTTTCGATAATAAAAGTGAGAGGTTGTGAGATGAGCAGCTCTGGCTGCAGTGAGGGTGGGCCCGGCGAGAGAATTTGGTCTGAAATTGTGCAAGTCGACAGATAGGCAGGCGCAAACCGCCTTGACATACACCGACAATAGAAACTACCAGCAGGTAGGGAACTGTGGCTTTCACCGATTCTTTAAGATCTAGACTTCTTAAGAAAAGAAAAAAATAATGAAAGTAAAAAATTTTTGCGCGAGCTGCGGCGACCAGAGGTCACGGCGCGTCGTCGCGGACTTGTCTCCCACACCGACTTACACCGGCGCCTCACTTACTTTTTCCCTCCTTCCCCTTCGTCGTACTTTCTCTCCATCACCTACCAATTTTCCCAGGCCAATTATCGTCCGGGTACTTCAAATAACGCTTCAAAGGACCTCCATAAGCACATACCCGAGAGAAAGATGAGTGAAGTACTCAAGGAGCTGCGGGATTGCGTTTTCTCGGCAACGATCCGCCGTCCTATAAGCCAGCACTTGAGCTGTATTTTAAGATAGTGTGTTACATTTTGTCATTCGCATATTTCAAGTGGTCACTATATAGCTGAGTGATCTGCAATCCTGCCGGGCTCAAGCATACCACGAGATAGATTCTAATGATGCACCGAGACCTGGAGAGCGAGCGAACGACGAAGCTGAACTGCGGTGGAGCGGGAGACCTACAGAAGATGGCGAGATCGTCTTTTTTTCCCATATCGGAGACGACAGCAGTAACGGTGACAGCGACAACATGACGACGACGGTAATAACGATCGAAACAGCAACAAGAACAACAGCGACGGGCTATTGGGCTGACTGAAGTGTCTGAAAATGCTTGAATCGTTCATATGGAGCACGAAGACTGTTATGGATGCGCCTTCCTGGTGGATCGGTTGATGGATTTGGCAGCTGTCGATTTTCTTTCAATATTTCACGTCAACTGGATTTTCTTCTGCGAGTCTTGATCTTGTCTATCACGTCATATAGATGCGTAAGGCCTATGTCATCCCGAATTACCTCCCGCTGAAGAGGGGCAAGGACGGGGAAGGCCCCATGTCCAAAAGCTGGCAGGTGTTTTCCGCCTCGAAGAGAACCTAACTCACTGCTTCATCATGCCGCTCGGCAGGATGCAGTCGAAGAAGAAAGAGCATGTTTCTTCGTGCAGCTCCTTCCAATGCACGCTGACGGATCTTTCCTTGAATGCGTACTACCGCCATGGCCTACTTTTCTCTCCATTTCACCGTGGACGACATAAAACAATACAACTTCAGCTCTCTCCATGGCTCGTCTTTCACACTTTATCACAGCATCTCTTGCACCCCTGCTATCATCAAAGTCTACGCATACTCTATACAGCAGTCCTACATCTCTCTGTATTCAGTTCTCGGCTTTCCTTTTCGTTGAAGAAAACAAACCGCGCTCAAGATGTCCTCCACCAGCAATACCTACCCCAGCCGTTCTCGCGATAGATTCGGCCAGTTCAAATCTTCGTGTGAAGAATTCAGGTCCAATCACTCGCTTCCCTGCGGATGAAGCGAGGGTGACCAGAAGCAGGCGACAAGGTCACCTATCGGCCGCTGCTTGTTTGTCATCGAGGTGGAGCAGCGCATGTCGCAGCTCGGCTCCTTGACAAACATGCAGCTTTCATTGACTCTTTCGTTGGCTTACCACCGTGCTCACATGCATTCAAGTGTGGGAAGAATGAATAGGCCAGAGATTAAATCTAGCCATGGCCGCCTCCCTGCCGCAAAAGGACTCTCCAGTCTCCTCTGTTCCGGCTACTTCCTGACGAGTGGGATGGCTCATCAGACGAGCCAGCCTGAAGACGATGCGACTCTTCAATACTTTGTCTGTTCTCGGAGCGATGATCGTCGTTGTCAAAGCTACGAGTTCTTGGCCCTACAATGCTGGCTTATCACCGACTCCGCCTCCAAGACTTGAAGCCAGAGACAGCCTTACCAGTAGACCGATCAATGTTTGCGGCTACTACACTCCCGAGGAAGACAAATGTTCCAACTATCTCCCTCCTAATGACTTAAACTATGGGCTGACTAGTTCACAGTAATTAGAACACACCAATGTCCGCCGAATGAGGCTTGCAAGATATCTGACGGGTTCATCGGCTGCAACAATATCGCGTATTCGGTGTGCGCGAACGCACGGGAGATCCAGGGTTGTCAATCTGGGAAGACAGTCGGCGCCGGCACACTTTGTTGGTAAGTTTGAGAAAGTTGGCTCCTCAGCCCACTCACGAACTAACGGTGATAGTCGCGAAACTTCCGGCTGGGTGCCGGCATGCCAGACATATGTCCGAGACGATGCCGAACTGGGAATCAAGAAGATGTATGGATGCCGCGATGTTGCGCTCGCCTGGGATAAGACGGTCACCTTGCACTGGGCAACGAGTTTACTGGTTCAGATAGACTCTATCACCCTACCTGCGCCATTTACGACAACCACCGGAAGCATCTTGGCTGCTGGATCTTCTATCGAGGCCCGGACATCTGAAGCTCCGGCGATATCTTCCCCTATAACAGAACCTGCGCCTACTTTGCCCTCTGCTTCGGAATCTTCTGACACAAGCAACGAAAACTCGTCTTCTTCACAAGCTGGGGTCATTGTGGGAGGTGTCATAGGTGATATTGCCATTGTGGGCGCCATCTCGTGCTTCGTCCTTTGGCTTCTTGTCCGGCGACGTCGAAGTCTAGAAGGAAAGGTAGAGACAGTGGGCAGACGGCTTGAGACACCGATGGCTGAGCTTCAGGGGGACGAGCCTGATGCTTCTGAGAACAGAGAGCAGGGTGAGTATCGGCCTGCGGCGTTAGTACCTCCGACACCGCCAGAGTCGCCGGTCATCAGAGTGTCGGCGCCGAGGATTTCGACCGCTTCGGTATGTAAGGCGCCGTCAGGCAATCAGCTTGGTAGCCCAACTACGCCGGCAGAGCTGGATTCGTAGGTTCGCATATGGGTATCACAGGCTGGCGTTTGGTACGAAAGTATTGGTAGAGATAATGTTAATAGGCTCAATAACTCGATCTCACTTGATGACTAGGGTGTTGGTTGCCGAACAAACGTGGCAGCGGATTTGGGTTCTCGCTTGAAGACAAAGAGTCCGCCCCTGTTAGCATCGCGAACGTGGCAAACAACACCACCGGGCCATGGTTCATCCATGCAAGGGCCAAGAAGATCTCTGGGCATGATCACTGATGATCATTTGAAAACAGGGCGTCTCGAATGCCATCATCAAAGAAACAAAGTCGAGGGACACAAGGTTTGGTCATTCGAGAATTGTCAGGCCGAGTAACATGTCGACAAACACTCACAAGAGGATGTTAAATCGAAGTCCTCCTCGGCGGGAGGACAAACACTCGCCCTTACACCGTCTCTTTCATTAACTTCGCCACTGAGCCGAGACGTGCCAAAGGGTGACGATGAGAGTCTCTCCGCTTATAACTTCTGAGAGTCCCCTTTCTCGAGCCATACCATTGCTTTATCCAGTGATGAGCCAAACTGCCTTG